CAAATGTATCCCCCATCCACAATCCCACCCTACAATGAATGTCAACAAAATGCGTAATAAAATGCATAAGTTTGTTTAAAAACTTGGTGAGCGCCCCGGTAGAACATAGATCGTATTTCATCGAGTCCGATCGTTATCTCTTCGGAAAGCAGTTTTATTACAGTTGACATAAAGTTCATGTAATAAAAAAATACGATTGCTATTGATTTTGTTATTATTTTTTTGTGAATTTCAGGGGCGCTTACAGGGTCTCGTGTGGGGTGGGGCGGTCGTCTCCTCGGTTCCCTTTTAATCCGCGCCTTGACGCAACGGCTATAAAATATGGAAGGGTATCGCTTCCAATATTATATGCTCTGCGACAATGTCTTTTCCATTGATTATATGTAAAAAGTACAATGTACAAAGTCCTAATACTGGTAATGATAAAGTCAAAATACCTCTAAGGCAAGAGTTAAATGTAAAACGTCAAATGTTAAGTGTTAACTGACAAATGTTTTGTGGGAAAATGCTTTTTTTGACGTGTCTACATTTTACATTTCTCTCATTACATTTTACATTTGCTCTCTGCCACATCTCATTTGTCCTTCACACATTCTACATAGCTTGTTTCGCACATCATCAACTTTCATATGCAAATGTAGGATATCACGTGACTTATTAACATATACGGAAACCCGGCACACTATAAGCCAGAACAAGGATATTCACGACACTATAACAGGAAATCAGGATAGCACACAAAAAAAATGTACTTACCTTGACACTTTGGATGGTACTTTACCATGATTACGGGGGTGGGTGTGGGGGCTGTGCAATGTCCAAATACGAAATTCCACATATCATTTTACATATTAGTGAAAAGCACGTTCATTTCTGTTTGTAAATATGTAAATAGTTTTCTGGAACACTCGTATTTTCATAATTCAAATCCAATAAATATCACACTATTAAAGGGGTATTCAAGTAAAAATACTGGTCTAAATACGAAATTCCAGATACCATGATACGTATCACTGATTGCTCTTTTCAAATATGCAAATAATTTTCTGGCACATTCATATTTGCTTAACTTTACAAAATAAGATTAAAGTTGAAGTGAAGGAAGGGTGGGGAGGGGGACTAGACTAAACTAAACTAAAATAAAGATACGGGGCTTAATCAAAAATGATCTATGTCCACACTAAAAAATTTATAATCATTCCTCTCTTTAAATATATTATTTATTTGTTGGGCACAATGCTTGTAGATGTATATTGGTTTTTGTAATGGATCAAAGTTAATTAGGCTGTACTCAACTCTGTTTATAGAGAGGCCGGAAAGAGTGGGGGTGTTTAAAATATCAAAATACGGGTATTAATACGAAATTCCAGTTATTGTGTTATAAATTACTGGAAGGTATGTTTCTTTGGCTGTTTGAATCTATCAATTATTTCCTGGAACATTCATGATTACGCACGGTCGTGTATATAGTTTCTTATGGTGTGCCAGCTTGATTTACTGTTATCGTGCGGCGGATATCCTTATAGTGTGCTGGTTTATAGTGTGCCGGGTTTCCGTATATGTTAATGGATCACGTGATATCCTACATTTGCATATGGAAGTTGATGCTGTGCGAAAGTTGCTATGTAGAAAGCGTGAAGGATAAATGGGATGTGGCAGAGCGCAAATGTAAAATGTAATGAGAGAAATGTAAAATGCAGACACGTAAAAAAAAGCATTTTCCCACAAAACATTTGTCATTTAACATTTAACGTTTTACATTTAACTCTTGCCTTAGAGGTATTTTGACTTTATCATTATCGGTATTAGGACTTTGTACATTGTACTTTTTACATATAATCAATGACAACGACATTGTCGCAGAGCATTTAATATTGGCAGCGATACCCTTCCATAATAAAATGCTAAAATGACTCATTTGAAACTGTTACAAGGGTGACCGTTGTCACCTTTCATCAAATTAGTATAAAATATCCGAATTCTCACTATTAATGAAGAGTCAACAAGTTTCGAAAATACCAATAGTCCGACTTGAGCTTCGTCTAGACGATCATACATGGCTCAAAACACGAACATGATAGCTTTCTCAAAAGAGGGGGTTTGGTTCTGGTTATATGATATCACATTAAAATATCATATACACGCCCCCCCCCCCCCCACACACACACACCCCTTCTCTCTTGATAGGGGACTACATGCTAGTACGTTTATTCCCGAAAACCCAGACAGTTCATAGAACAAAGTTAACTTGGTTTGTCTATTTTATTTCATGGTCATTTAAATTTCTTATAGGAGAACTAAAGAGGGGAAGATGTGGCAGTGTCGGATTCCGAAGAAAAGTGTGTCCTGTTGCCGAAAAGGGGACAATAGTTTCTGTTGAAATACTAACGCAGTTATCGAAATACCCATGTATATTTGGGAAAAGTATATTTGTTCGTGGTCTCAATATTGTTGCCACGCGTGGATGTAGCGCCAGATTTTTAGTCGGTATAGATGATTAAATTAATGAATTGATTTTTTAATTGGGTAGAGCTTCTAATGGTAAGTCTTCAAACCAGTGGCGTTATCAGATGTGTATTAATCCAAGTGTGGCAGCCTAAAGCCAAAATTTCTAGCGTCAAGTTCCGCTACAAGTTCCTCCATACTAAACAAACTATACATTTGTGGAACGCTTAAAACACCAGGAACACAGATCCAGAGAGTTCCAAGCAAGGTGTTTGCAATAACTCGATTGTGATAATTGTCAAGTAAATGCTTTATCTATACTAACAATTGTGAAGTTGGCATAGAATTAAATATTGGCGAAAACATCCGATGCCTTCATCCTATGCAAACAATATGCTATTGGTTAAATTTTGATTAAAAGCAAAATGCAGAAAACATCATGGACAAGGGAACATGTGGAATTATCTCCCTTTATGAAAAATATCACTAATTACTGATAACTAATCAGGAGGTCCGGGGTCTTGATAACGTTGAGACAATACTATTCGAAACGTCGCCCAAATAAATAAGTAGGCTAGCTGATTTTCCATAAGTATGTGTTATAGTTTATTCCATATATATAGATGCTTTGTTTCAATTCAAATATTTGTTTGGAATTTAGCCTCAAATCTAATCTGAACTAAAAGTTTACAGATATATTAGTAGAGATACTGTTTTGGGAGAACTTATATGCCCCCCCCCCCCACCTCCCAGATTCGGTGGACCGTCCATTTTTCGAGCAATGTATTTCAGTTTTTCAGACTCAAACATCAGAGAATGGAGAATACGACCACATATCATGGAGATATAATTGTATAATTGTGTAATTAGTTAAAAATAAACAACCATCACAGCTTTGTGGAAAATACGTTTTAGTTAATGATTGATTCATTCAGAAAATTCAGGTGACAAAGAAAATTTTCCGGCAAATAGTTTGTTTAGAAGGGAGGACCTTGTAGCGGAATTGTGTTTCTAAGCAAGCTAAAGATTTTGGCTGGTTTAACGTCCTACTGGGCTAAAGAAGACGAGCATACACCATATAGTGTGTTATGAGGGAAATCATGCCCGGGCAGCGGTGCCACAGCGTACGCTTATAACGAATTCCATTACCGAGGGTTGTTTTACGTGCATGCCAATGGGTACACGGGAACTCGACATTTCGTACCATCCGAACGGCTATACGTCGTCCAGTGCTAGGCTCTCTGCCTTGCAACACTGAGAAGGAGAACCACACCGCATTATCCCGAAACCTGCTCCATGGTTAGTGAAGCCAACGTCCTACTCACTGAGCTACCGTGGCTCCCTTTTCAAAAGTAGTATAGGTGATGTATATTCGTATACATGAACTGATATCCCCTCACAATCTCATGTTACAACCATTCGCCCCCCCCCCACCCCATATCACGGTAGAGTTTAAGAATGGGAACATAAACATTTCGGCACTTTGATATAAAGCATATTATAATTTCTAATTTTATAATTTAATGATCATATTTATCTTCCACACTGACACACTAATTTCATTTGTGTGAGTATGACGCATAACGACCATAATATACCTCCTTTTCTCTGATGATGTAAGGGCTTCCGTGGCATTTCAGCCAGGGGATTAATCCAGTCCGGACATTAAGGATTTGCAATATAAATTATTCACGGTCCATCTAATTTGTACATGGTGCCAAACAGTTTCTAGGCACACCTGCTGTTTATCAAAACAAACATACATATACCAGAAACCTCTACCCAAAGTGTAGTGGGGGTAGCCTACATGGGTGGGGGGGTCTAGAATGTCGCCCTTGGAGCTCTAGCTGGCCGACCACCTCTGGCTTGCGGTTGTGGTTTCGATCCCTGGTGTGAGTGTATGTGGCTTGGAGATAGGGGCTCTCTCCCAACTTCGTACGTTTACTCCAGGTAGTCCGTTTTCCTCGCGCAGGAAAGACCCATACGCGTGAGCTGAGCTGAGAATAGTAAACTAAACACTAATAGAAGAAGACCAAAAGCGTAATTACTACCCCAAACTGTTTCTGAAGAAACCAAAGTTAGCATAGCCATCACAGTTGTGTAGAAGCCAAACGGTAGAATACAAGACTTACAAATGAAAACGTCATCAAATACGAAGAACATGTCACCGAATGGGGTACAAATTTATGTGCAACCCAAGAACATGTCACTTCGCGATGACAGAAGAAACTTTTCAAGATGCTAACTTAGCATGCACTCTGTACAAGATCGCTTCACACATTTCAATCTGTGCAAAGGGGAATTACCGTAAATATAATATACACATATTGTCGCCAGTTTTGCGTCCAAGGCAAGGCCAACTACTTACCCCCTGCACTTTCCCCAATCTCAAACGACAATTGCGATCAACGATTTACAAAATCATACGTTTTGTAGTAAAAAGCAAAAGAATATACGTTTTGTAGTAAAAAGCAAAAGTACAAAATTCAAACTACTAAATTCAGGTTAATATTGACTGCAAACAAGACAACAAAATTACTAGAAATTCCTGGATTTATAACATTAATATCTTATCAAAATGATGATTCTCCATATTTTAAGGATATGACATAGTTTGTTTGAAACTGGATCTATTCTCTCATTGAAGCACAAATTTCATATGGAACTGGGGAGAGAGTGAGGCCGGCAACGCTATCAAATGAATAGTCCTTGATATGAGCTGGCTTGCTAAAAGCACAATTCTGAAATATTCCTGTGAAGAATAGAAACAGTTCCATGCGTGCCAAAAACTCACCAACACATTTACGTCTACCCATTGAAAACGCCGTGAATTTGTCTGTGGTGTTATTATCCAGCTTTCCTTCAGCATCAAGGAATCGTTCTGGTCTAAAATTAAAAGGATCACCCCACAGCTTTTCATCGTGGCTGATTGAGTACATGTTTGGTAGGACAACAGTATCTTTTGGAATGATATAACCGTTCAGCTCAGTATCCTTGGTAGCTGCATGGGGCAGGGAAAGCGGTGCTATATTTGAAAACCGCAGGATTTCGTTAATTGTTGCCATGCAGTAGTGCATTTCAGCTTTATCTTCCAACTTTGGTTGTCGTTGTCCTAAAACATCGTCAATTTCCTCATGGACCATTCGTTGAACTTCTTGGTGCGCTGTTAGCAATAGCAGGGCCCAATTCAAAGTATTCGATACTGTTTCGAATCCAGCAGCCAAGAGGTCATCCAAAGTCGAGTAAATCCTTTCAGCTGTAAAATCGGATGAGGGGTCAGCTTCGGCTTCTTTAACGGCAGCAATCAATCCATCTGCGAGATGCCTCGGGTTAGACGGTGTGTAGGTCTTCAGACTTTCTTCAACTTTCTGACTTCTGATTTCCCTAACTTGTTCGTCAATTTTGATCATAGTCGAGACTTTCCATGGCATAATGTATCTCAACCATGGCATAACATCAACAGGATTTCCAGATGCAGCAAATTGTATAAATTCACGGTTATTTATGAGAAATGTTTTAAAAGTTTCATCTTCTTCTCGAATATTTGTATGCTTTCCAAAACAGATTTGAAAAATTATACTTCCAACACTAACATAGAGAAATTTCGTTGGGCAAAAGGGTTTCCCGTTCATATTGTTAAATTCTGAAACTGTTATCTTTGCTTCCTCGTAAATCATGTCTTCGGTGGGATTTTTTCGGGAATTTGCAAAGACATACAAGCAGTGGTATGCCATCTTCTTGTGCAGTATACTACTCTCTGAAAAACGTCCAAAACTTAGCTTATGTTCTCCAAATAGTGAGGCGAGGAAGAAATTTGGCCTACCTGAAAAATCATCCCCTCTAGTAACCAAAGCCTCTTTAATTAACGTCTTGCCATTGATTACAACGGCTGGGAAACTGCCCATTTTGATACTAAAGATGTCGCCATATTTCCCTCTTAGTTTATTAAAGGTGAGATGCGGGTGAGTACCGAAAAAAGGTAGATAACCTAAAACAGGCACGCCACTTGGTCCAGGAGGGAAGTTGTCCTTTCTAACTAAATCCAATATAATCTTGGCACAAATCAATGCCAGCACAAATGTTACCAAACTTATTTGTGTTCTGTATGACGGGTCTGCTATGTACGTCATTATATCTTGCAACATTTCGTTTTTCTTTCTTGACAACACTAATCCAAATTACAACCAAGCGTATCGGAACAGCCCACCATAAAACTGTTATATACTATTATATACGATCCATAACCCGGCCACAATACTGGGACAAAAACACTCCAGTTGTCAATCTATTTCAAAGCATTAATGTGAAAGCTTTCTTTTAACTCTTTAGAAGATGACTGACCGATCGACCTTTAAGTTCACCTTTAGGTATACGTGTGACGTCACATCATATGGCCTCGATAGCACGTGGATTGTTTACATCGGACGTAGTAATCCTAACACAAACTGATCCAGGCAGAAATTGGGCCAAATCTGTTTGCTATGGTCAGCTTGATTTTCGTCAAGGTCGCTGAAATGTAAATAAGGTTAGGGCTCGTTATTGTTGGCGAGGTTGTAGGTTGGTTTAAGAATTTGGGGGAAAGATTAAGTCTCCACATAAGCGCTGACCTAGGATGATGAAAAATTAGTTCGTGATATTTCCTAGTTTTATTAAAAATACATAAAATACATTAGATTTATATACAAAGGCAGTTTCACTGTTTTTTTGGTGTTGGTGGCGCTGATGGTCTTCCTTGGTGTGTTTCCTACTACGGATTGGATTTTCTAAAAAAAATCGTGTTTGTTCCACATCACCGGGTTAGGGCTAGGGTTACTTATATCTAGTTGATTTTATTTACTAATGGTTAGGGATAGGATTTGATATATGGTTTGTTTTGGGTTAGGGTGGGGACTGGTCTTATTTAATCTAATTTACTGTGTGATTTACTAGGCTATGCCTGTTTCACATATTGGATTGAGAAGCCCTGAATAGCAGGGGTGGGGTGGGGATTCCAAATCCCGCCACACAATGAATGTCAACAAAATACGCAATAAAATGCAAAAGCCGTTATCTTGCCGGAAAGCAGTTACTAATTACGATTGCTATTGATTTTGTTATTATTTTTTTGTAAATCTCAGGAGCGCTTTCAAGGCCTCGTGTGGGGTGGGGCGGTCGTCTCCTCTGTCCCTTTTAATCCGCGGCTTGACGCAACGGCTATAAAATGCTAAAATGACTCATTTGAAACTGTTACAAGGGTGACCGTTGTCACCTTTCATCAAATTAGCATAGAATATCCGAATTCTCACTATTAATGAAGAGTCAACAAGTTTCGAAAATACCAATAGTCCGATTTGAGCTTCGTCTAGACGATCATACATGGCTCAAAACACGAACATAATAGCTTTCTCAAAAGAGGGGGTTTGCTTCTGGTTATATGATATCACATTAAAATATCATATACAGCCCCCCCCCCACCACCTCCACCCACACACCTTCTCTCTTGGTGGGGGACTATATGCTAGTACTTTGATTCCCGAAAACCCAGACAGTTCATAGACCAAAGTTAACTTGGTTTGTCTATTTTATTTCATGGTCATTTAAATTTCTTATAGGAGAACTAAAGAGGGGAAGATGTAGCAGTGTCGGATTCCGAAGAAACGTGTGTCCTGTTGCCGAAAAGGGGACAATAGTTTCTGTTGAAATACTAACGCAGTTATCGAAATACCCATGTATATTTGGGAAAAGTATATTTGTTCGTGGTCTAAATATTGTCGCCACGCGTGGATGTAGCGCCAGATTTTTAGTCGGTATAGATGATTAATTAAATGAAATGATTATTTAATTGGGTAGAGCTTCTAATGGTAAGTCTTGAAACCAGTGGCGTTATCAGATGTGTATTAATCCAAGTGTGGCAGCCTGCAGCCAAAATTTCTAGCGCGAAGTTCCGCTACAAGGTCCTCCCTACTGAACAAACTTATAACACCAGGAACACAGATCCAGAGAGTTCCAAGCAAAGTGTTTGCAATAACTCGATTTAGGCCCAAATGAAAATTGTGATAATTGTCAAGTAAATGCTTTATTTATACTAACAGTTGTGAAGTTGACATAAAATTGAATATTGGCGAAAACATCCCATGCCTTCATCCTATGCAAACAATCTGCTATTGGTTAAGTTTTGATAAAAAGCAAAATGCAGAAAACATCATGGACAAGGGAACATGCGGAGTTATCTCCCTTTAGCGAAAATATCACTTATTACTGATAACAGTATTTATTTTGTTTTCCCTTGTCCTTGGCTCACTAATCTTGAGGTCCGGGGTCTTGATAACGTCAGAGAATGGAGAATACGACCACATATGGAGATATAATTTTATAATTGTGTAATTAGTTAAAAATATACATCACAGCTTTGTGGAAAATACGTTTTAGTTAATGATTGATTCATTCAGAAAATTCAGGTGACAAAGAAAATTTTCCGGCAAATAGTTTGTTTAGAAGGGAGGACCTTGTAGCGGAATTGTGTTTCTAAGCAAGCCGAAAATGTTGGCGGGTTTAACGTCCTACTGGGCAAAAAAAGACGAGCATACACCATATAGTGTGTTATGAGGGAAATCGTGCCCGGGCAGCGGTGCCACGGCGTACGCTTAAAACGAATTCCAACTACCGAGGGTTGTTTTACGTGCATGCCAATTGGTACACGGGAACTCGACATTTCGTACCATCCGAACGGCTATACGTCGTCCAGTGCTAGGCTCTCTACTCACTGAGCTACCGTGTCTCCCTTTTTCAAAAGTAGTATAGGTGATGTATATTCGTATACATGAACTGATATCTCCTCACAATCTCATGTTACAACTATTCGGCCACCCAACCCCCCATATCACGGTAGAATGGGAGCATAAACATTTCTGCACTTTGATATAGAGCATATAATTTCTAATTTTATAATTTAATGATCATATTTATCTTCCACACTGACACACTAATTTCATTTGTGTGAGTATGATGCACAACGACCATAATATACCTCCTTTTCTCTGATGATGCAAGGGCTCCCGTGTCATTTCAGCCAGGGGTTTAATCCAGTCCGGACATTAAGGATTTGCAATATAAATTATTCAGGGTCCCTCTAATTTGTACATGGTGCCAAACAGTTTCTGGGCATACTTGCTGTTTATCAAAACAAACATATATATACCAGAAACCTCTACCCAAAGTGTAGTGGGGGAAGCCTACATGGAGGCGGGGGTAGCCTACATGGGTGGGGGGGGGTCTAGAGTGTCGCCCTTCAAGCTCTAGCTCTAGCTTGCGGTCGTGGTTTCGATCCCTGGTGTGAGTGTATGTGGCTTGGAGATAGGGACGCCCTCCCAACTTTGTACGTTTACTCCAGGTACACAGTTTTCCTCGCACAGGAATGACCCCTACGCGTTCGCTGAGCATAGTAAACTAAACACTAATAGAAGAAGAAGACCCAAAGCGTAATTACTACCCCAAACTGTTTCTGAAGAAACCAAAGTTAGCATAGCCATCACAGTTGTGTAGAAGCCAAACGGTAGAATACAAGACTTAATGAAAACGTCATCAAATACGAAGTACATGTGCAATTTATGTGCAAACCAAGAGCATGTCACTTCGCGGTGATAGAAGAAACTTTTCAAGATGCTAACTTAGCATGCACTCTGTACAAGATCGCTTCACACATTTCAATCTGTGCAAAGGGGAATAACTGTAAATATAATATACACATATTGTCGCCAGTTTTGCGTCCAAGGCAAGGCCAACTACTAACCCCCTGCACTTTCCCCAATCACAAACGACAATTGCGATCCACGATTTACAAAACCATACGCTTTGTAGTAAAAAGCAAAATTACAAAATTCAAACTACTAAATTCATGTTAATATTGACTGCAAACAACACAACAAAATTACTAGAAATTCCTGGATTTATAACATTAATATCTTATTAAAATAATGATTCTCCATATTTTAAGGATATAATATAGTTTGTTTGAAACTGGATCTATTCTCTCATTGAAGCACAAATTTCATATGGAACTGGGGAGAGAGTGAGGCCGGCAACGCTATCAAATGAATAGTCCTTGATATGAGCTGGCTTGTTAAAAGCACAATTCTGAAATATTCCTGTGAAGAATAGAAACAGTTCCATGCGTGCCAAAAACTCGCCAACACATTTACGTCTACCCATTGAAAACGCCGTGAATTTGTCTGTGGTGTTATTATCCAGCTTTCCTTCAGCATCAAGGAATCGTTCTGGCCTAAAATTATAAGGATCACCCCACAGCTTTTCATCGTGACTGATTGAGTACATGTTTGGGAGGATGACAGTATCTTTTGGAATGATATAACCGTTCAGCTCAGTATCCTTGGTAGCTGCATGGGGCAGGGCAAGTGGTGCTATATTTGAAAATCGCAGGATTTCGTTAATAGTTGCCATGCAGTAGTGCATTTCAGCTTTATCTTCCAACTTTGGTTGTCGTTGTCCTAAAACATCGTCAATTTCCTCATGGACCATTCGTTGAACTTCTTGGTGCGCTGTTAGCAATAGCAGGGCCCAATTCAAAGTATTCGATACTGTTTCGAATCCAGCACCCAAGAGGTCATCCAAAGTCGAGTAAATCCTTTCAGCTGTAAAATCGGATGAGGGGTCAGCTTCGGCTTCTTTAACGGCAGCAATCAATCCATCTGCGAGATGCCTCGGGTTAGACGGTGTGTAGGTCTTCAGACTTTCTTCAACTTTCTGACTTCTGATTTCCCTAACTTGTTCGTCAATTTTGATCATAGTCGAGACTGTCCATGGCATAATGTATCTCAACCATGGCATAACATCAACAGGATTTCCAGATGCAGCAAATTGTATAAATTCACGGTTATTTATGAGAAATGTTTTAAAAGTTTCATCTTCTTCTCGAATATTTGTATGCTTCCCAAAACAGATTTGAAAAATTATACTTCCAACACTAACATAGAGAAATTTCGTTGGGCAAAAGGGTTTCCCGTTCATATTGTTAAATTCTGAAACTGTTATCTTTGCTTCCTCGTAAATCATGTCTTCGGTGGGATTTTTTCGGGAATTTGCAAAGACATACAAGCAGTGGTATGCTATCTTCTTGTGCCGTATACTACTCTCTGAAAAACGTCCAAAACTTATCGTATGTTCTCCAAATAGAGAGGCAAGGTAGAAATTTGGCCTG